CTTGGCAAGCGGGTTGGCAACCACAGTTTTTTTTGAAGTGAAACTTTTTACGGGAGGGCTTTGATTGAAATGCTGATCCGCAACCTTTTTGTATGATGAAAAGTGGTGGGTGTAAATACTACGTACGTACCGGGCATTCGGTCGATCATGCAAGTCGCAAACGCAGGGCATTACATACCATAAAGTATATAGTACTACAATTACAAGATTACAACGGTCTTTTGTTCGAATACTAATCTTATATTCATTTTATTTAAGACAGTTACCAAGATACACGTATTTATTTTATGATCTCTGATTTGTTTCCTTATGTCGCCTTTTACGACACCCACGGGATGATAATCGGGTAGTGAATAAAATTACGTTCATTCTATCCTTATTTATTTCTATAATTTTGTTACCCATTTTTTTTTCAAATTGAGACGTAGGATCAGAGTCTGATTTCAAAGTCTATAACTAAAGTGTATTCTTAAGAAGTAAACATAATTTATAAACATTTATAGAAAATTATTTTAATTAGTATATTTATTAACAATTATTTAAGTTGGCGATTTTCCTTCATGCTTAACTAGGCTTAGAACTAGCAGAAAAGTTTTAAATTCGAATTCTCAATTCAATTTGAAAATTCAACTCTATTAACCGCAGGTTTACCTGATTTGCACTAGCCGCTGATTAGGCTTCGGTGTAAGAAGTGGTCGGAACTGTCATTTTATCGAAGTGAGACCAGACATTTCACTAGCCTTACGCGACATTTTGAAAGTCTATATTCAAAAATGATTAAAAGTCTAAATCAACTTAAACTATACTATGCTATATTATATTTACATTTTTACACATAATTGTCTGAATTACAACTACCTAATGCACAAAATAGCAAAAATTAATAACTCCATGGATGTTATTAGGTATCTTAGCGAATGGCAAGAGCACGCGTCACCAAGACCAAGTGCTTAATTGTTGCGATCTAGAAAAAAGCAAATTCTAAACTTTCCATACAAAATATAAAAAAAACATAAACATAAAGTTGCCTAAACCAAATATAATATGATCATACAAATGCAAGTCTTGTGTCTATTGTCCTAAAAATCATTTAAATTTGACAACTCTCACAACTACACAAACTTAAAAATTAGACAATTTTAACCATTTGAAATTCAACCTTTTTGCTTTAGGTAATTATATCCAGATGTGCATTGCATACCGTGTGAAACTAAAATTACCAAAACAGAAATCCTCCCTTTCTATACGAATTTATAATACTGTCGCAAGAACAAGAAACAATGAATATCAATGAAGGTCATCGCATCGCTTTAGTTAGTGGGCCGTGTTGGCATATCGTTCTGGTGTTTGCGTTTTACGTTTTACAAATCTAAACCTTGTGCCTAATGAGCTAAAGATCATTTGAAATTTGATAACCCTCACAACTACACAAACTTAAAATTTAGGTAATTTTAACTATTTAAAATTCGACATTATTGCTTTAGCTATATTTTATATTTCGCAATGTGCACCGTTGTGTCATAACTACCAAAACGTCGCAACGATATCCATATTCGATTCATCTCTTTCTATACTTATTTAAACTATCGTTGCAAGAACGAAAAGCGATGAATATCAACGAAGGTCATCCATCGGTTAGTGGGCCGTTTTCAGTTTTGGGATATCGTTTCACAGTTTGCGTTATGCGTTTCGGTTTCGTTTTCGTACGTTGGTTACGGTTTTGTACTTAGTTTTATCGATATGATATAATATTTGATAACATAACGTTATTAGTTACGTTTTGATATATCGGTCCCATGCCTAAAGTGTACCAGTACAGTACGAGCTTTCATAAAAGTACGAGTCATTCGTAATTGGGCGGTTTCAATTTTTTTGACACACGTCTTAAACCGGTGTGTCCCATATAATTAAATATTTTTTTCTAAATATAATCGTAGTGTCTGTGAATAAAATACTGGAGTTTAAATCGTAACTCAATTTGTAAACTAGTACTTAAAATAATAGTAATAGATATTCATGCAATCAATTAATTAAAAAGAGTTTTTTTATATAATGAAAGACCACTGATTTACTTGTCCCGTGAGTAAAATGGTAACAAAATCTTGAAATTACTTTCCTTTTTCCTATGAAAGCATACGACAGTTATAATTTAAAAATCATAAACAGTGATATATAAACGTAATAAAACACATTAATTTGCAGTATATTATGTATAATAATTAAAAAATAATTTTAAATATCGGGTCGTAATTTAGGGTCACCTGACATGTCAAGTATTGTTACTCATTTTAGAATATTATTTTAATCTACTACATATTTTTATTCATGGTAATGGCAACACGAACGTTCAATTATCAAACTGCCATTTTTTAAAAACAGCGTTCAGTTGCGATAGTCTCAAGGGACGAGAGTGTTGTGCTACGCAAAAGTTACTTCAATATTTTTGTCAAGGTAAGTTACCGAATTTTAAATGATTTTTAATATGTGTGTACGTATTATAGTATATAGAGTCATGCATTACAATCTAAAGATGAAATATGAACTATTACAAATGCTTATATACTCACTGTTTTCTTTTTTTAAACATTATAATATACGAGGACTGCAAAACGTTACTTCAGTTTGGTTACCGTGTTCATAGTAACGTTTAGGCTGACCAAGAAAGTAACCAAACTGACTGCTAAAGTGACGTTTACACGGTGCTGTTTCTTATATTGATTTTATTTAATAATTTAAATTTCATTTTAAACTTCTTATATTGATTTTATTTAATTACTTAAATTTCATTTAAAATTTCTTATATTGATTTTATTTTTTTTATTTAAATTTCATTAAAAATTCTTATATTGATTTTATTTAGTAATTTAAATTTATTAATTTTACTACAATTTCATATTTATAAGTTATATTGTTGTCTTTTGTCACGAATTATTGTTAGTAATTCATTCGTTTGAGTTACATGGTTAAAAATAAAATTTTGGGTAGGTTAGGTTAGGTTAGGTTAGGTTAGATTTTTATGGTAAGGAGGTGATAATTATCGAGCTTTACTGAAGTTCAAGCTCATTAGTTACTGATGTTTTTAGGCTTTATAATGCCGCTCACTGCCGCTGAAAAAATGAAAAGGTATAGAGAAAAGTTAAAAAAAGAACGGCCTGAAGAGTATGAAGCTCAGCGGAAACGCAATATAGAAAGAATAAAATTAAAAAAAAGGAAAGTTTCCGAAATGAGCATAACAGAAAAAACTGAGCAAAGAGAAAAGTGGAAAGAATACCAAAGAAAAAGTAGAAAATCCAAAAAAAATGTAATTGAAGAGCCCAATACCCTTCCAACCCCCCGATCAGAAATCTCTGTAAATAAGAAATTTAATATAAAAATTAAGGCAATAAATAAAAAAGTTAATAAGCTATCAGTCATTATTGAAAATCTAAAAACACGAAATGAAAGCTTCAGAAAAAAATACTATCGTTTAAAAGTAGCCTCTGAAAGAGAAAAAATTGAAATGGAAAAAAATTAACAATAAGTTAAAAGCCCGAAATGAAGTTTTAGAAAGTGCTTTGAAAAAAAACTTACCATAAAAGTGGCACACATTATGATAAAAGAATATTGAAAAAAAATGATTCAAAATTCTGAAAACAAATTTTACTTAGCAAAATGTTTAGGTTTAAAGTACAAATTAAAAATGCGGAAAAGAAAGATTAAAAAAACATTAATTGAAGAAATCCATTCATTTTACTTAAGAGACGATGTTAGTCGCATTACCGCTGGGAAAAAAGAAACACGCACAAAAAATAAACAGAAGCAACAAATACGTTACTTATTGGACAATATTCACAATTTGTTTAAGAAATATCGAGAGGAAGGTGGACGATACGGCCTCACAACATTTTATAAACAAAGGCCTCATTATGTTTTGTCTCCGCACTTAAAATCAAGAAATACTTGTTTGTGTATCAAACACGCAAATATTGAGTTTCAACTTCAAAAGTTAAGACAGATAGGAATAGTTAAGTCAGACTTGAAAGGAATTCTTGAAAAACTGGTATGTGATATACATAAATACGATTGCATGTACAATAGGTGTCAGGAATGCAGAAATCGAGAAGTAGAGCATTTTGGAGACGAAGATAAACTCAAAGAAAATATAACATGGAAACAATGGGAAAAACGAGAACATTACTACATTAAAAAAAGATGGGAACGAAAAAAAAGGAAATAAAGACAAAGAAAACAGCGAAGGTAGAGAAACATGGGACAGTAAAAGATTTGTTAAAGAACTTCAATAGTATTATAACACAACAGTTTAAAAAACACTTCTTCAATATGGTACATCAATGCCAGCAATACCAAAAGGCGGTAAAAAACCTAAGAGAAAACGAGGCACTCATAGTGTGTGATTTCTCTGAAAATTATGAGACGAAAATGTACAACGAGATACAGGCTATGCATTTTGGTGCTTCTAAGTCCCAGATAAGCCTACATACCGGAATGCTTTATTATGGGAAAAAAATCGCAGTCATTTTGCACATTAAGTGACAGTACTAATCACCAGCCATCTGCCATCTGGGCTCATCTAACCCCAATCTTAGATTTTTTAAAAACCGAAAGTCCCACGGTTAGTGTAATACATTTTTATTCAGATGGACCCACCAGCCAATACCGGCAAAAAAAATAATTTTTTCTTATTCTCCAAGTTTGTGAAAAATTACGAGCTTAACTACGCAACGTGGTCTTTCTTTGAGAGCGGACATGGGAAGAGCGTGGCCGATGGTATTGGTGGCTGTGTGAAGCGTATTTTAGATGCAAAAGTTAATCATGGGGCAGATATTACCTGCGCTAACGACGCCTATGATGTATTAAAAAAAGATACGAAGACCATTAAAGTGTGTTTGATCGATGAAGACAACATAGATAAAATAAATTCAACAATACAGGACAAAGTAGAAGTTTTAAAAGGAACTTTTGAACTACACCAAATTATATCAGACCAAAGAACGGATAATATGAAAGACTGCTTAGAAATCAAATATAGGGATTTAAGCTGTTTTTGTGGACCTGAACCTGGACGTTGTATGTGTTTCTCACCACGGCATCACGTTCTTGTTAAGAAATGCGCACCCTATTATCGCTGCACTTCTTCTTTTAGTGATATCATCTCCAACGATATAAGCGCACAATTAGCTTCGGTGCATTGTCCAGAAGATAATAATAATGATTTTGACAATATTACTAAATATACAGAAACTACAGACGATTTAATTTATGTAGATAATCCTGATTTTCCTATTTTATCGGACATCCAGAATACTCAAACCAGGAGTCTTGATACTACATCGGTAATATCTAATTCTGAAGATGATTTGATGGACGCAAAGTTTGGAATCTTATCTGACACTCAAGAAAATCAGACCAGAAGTCTTGATATGCCATCAACTACAAATAAATGGAGCATCAAATGTAATCAATGCAGTGTTCCTATTACGGGAAAATATAAGGCAAAATGCATGGCATGCAAAAAATACTATTGTGATGAATGTGTTGACGGTCCCATATATTTTGACTACATCTGTGATATTTGTTATGGAGGTAGTTTTCTCAAATATTTGTTTTGTTTATTTCTTTTAGTAATATAAAGTTATTCTCTAACCATACTTTATAATGATTGCTTGCAGATTAAAAGTTGGATCCACAAGAACATCTAAGGCTCCTAAAAGACCACGCAATAATGATCTACGCTGATGTTGACATAGTATTCACCATGCAAGACTTAATATCTATATATGTTCATCACCTTCAGTGGCCGTGGACAAATACTCATTTTATTCTTACAGAACAATGTTTTGGGTGCGGACAAAATACAAATGCTTTATTTAGACCAATGCATTTTTCACTAGCCATGAACAGACATGATATTGCAAGTTTATTAGTTGGTAAATTTTTTTGGTGTCACAATTGCAATTTTTATTCTATTTACGATCATTATCCGATGGATGAATGCGAATTTTGTAGTTAGTTACTTATTTTGGAAACCTACACCACACCTATGGTGTAAAATATCTTTTGTTATTTATTTCTATAGAAGAAAACTTTGTAATATTTATTATTAGATTTTAAATGTAAGTTAAATGTGTAGAATAATATAATTGGAATTGTATTTTGTTTTAATATTAAAGATTTCTTTGAAATTCATAAAGATGCTGTAGTTCCTAGTGATCGCTTTTATGTTGATTTTCGTACAAATCACTAATTAATTTTATTAGTAGGTAAGATTTAAATCTAAAATAACTTATCCCAAAGAATATTACTGTGATTTTATTAGGATTACATTTACAGAATAATATTTTTGCTGTTGGCTAGTGACAGGGTTGCACAAGTGTGGCGAATTTCCATTGTATATTAGTCAGTGACGTATACTGATGATAATGCCAAAATGGGAGGTTTAAAACTACTTTCTTTATAATAATAATAGTAATAAGGTTTGGAAAATATTTTAAGTTAGTATCCTGTTTTATTAATTTATAAACGGAAATAGGTACAAAGTATATTATATTATATATGAGAAAAATAAAACAGTTAATGTTGTTTTTATGGGTAGATGTTTGATGTGCAATTCCAGTGTGTTCCTAAAGATTTACAGATGTGATTTAAAAACGTGAAGCTAATTGTGAAATAAAAAATTATTTATATTTTTTTTTTTGTAAATGAATAGACTAAATATGTGTCATAGCTAGCGAATATAAGAATAAAAGAGTAAGCAAAACACAGGTTACAGAGATAATAAAAATGTATACTTAATAAGAAAATAGTTTAATAGTTCTCAATCATGAGAACGTGCCTTTACAATTTTGAACATGTCAACTTTGTTACTGTCCCAAAAAAATGTGAACACATTTTGTGTTTTTTTGCTTATTTAATTGAGTTTTAAATGTAAATAATGCAGGTATTTTAAAGAAAAGACCATAATCTTTTATGATCATCATATTTTTGTTGAACTAAGATGCTGCATTTTATGTGACCTAAAATATTGGTGTTAACTTAGACCCAAGGTAACAAAACCAGTGAGAATAATGATTTATTTTTAAGTTAGAGGCTTAATTTTTGTTAATTATTGCTTTGTTTATTTTCCTTACTTAACAGGATGGCATTTAAAATTAAAATATTCGATTATTTTAAAGTGCACTCATTTATTTTTGTTTTTTATAACAAGTAACAAACCTGATTCTAAGTCCTAATAAAGATTCACATTTCGTTATATTTTCCGGCGAAACGGGGGATTTTCTCAGTTTTTGATATAATTTCATTATTTTCAATAAATTTTCTAGACTATGCTATCTATTTTAATGGAAAATTTTTATTCTTAAAAATATGTTAATAATTTTAGTAGGGGGGTACAAAAAATTGAATCCGCCCAATTGATTGACACATGTCTAAACCAGCTTTCTACCAGTGTTGCCACCTTAGTGGATTTTCCACTAAATCTGGTGGTTTGGAACCCCCTTTTAGTGGCAAATTTTTGCTTTTAGTGGCTAGTGGTTTTTTTTAGCGGATTAGGAATTTTAAAAGTAACGTTGCCTACACATAAGATAGATATCTTTACTCAAAATATTCGTGACTATTTGGACCAAAGATGCTACCTGGGATTCCGATTCGAAAAACAGATTCAAGAAATGAAAGAGAAAGGTTTTCCACGGGAAGAGGAAGAAGTATTGCGGAATAGGTGCATACAGTTTATAGGTTGTCTGATTGACGAAATAAAAACAGATTGCCGGAAAATATTACTCTCATGAAACAAATATCCCGTATAAGTCTCGAAAAAGCCCTGCATCACAACAAAGAAAATCTGGTTGATATAATGGCTCGGTTCGTAACAAGTACAGAATTAATTGCAAAAATTGACGATCAATGGCAGCAAATTCATTTACTGAGATGGAATGAAACAAAAGATACAAAAAAATTTTGGAGCAAAGTCTTGAAATTCAAAGATGCATAAGGTGTTGCTCGATTTCAAGAATTAGCAACATTTGCGATTACACTTTTGGTATTGACACATTCGAATGCCGATGTGGAAAGACTTTTTAGTAGCATGAATATTATAAAAAACAAGCAGCGAAACAGAATGAAGCTAACTCTTTTGAAATCAATTCTAAAAATACGCTGCGGTATACAGTTAATGGGAAAGTGCTACAACAATTACGAAATTCCTTTAAATCTTATAAAACAAATTGGGACGAAGGAGTCATATCAGTCTGATAAGGATAACAGTAAGGCTGAAATGAAAATGCAAATTCATCTGAAGACGATTTATTAATGTAAATAATATCTTAAGCAACTTGATGTTTTTAAGTACTAAAAGTAAAAAAATTATATTAACAACAATAAGATTTTTAATAATAAACGTAATTTTACTTTTTTTTTTTTTGCTTTAATCATATTCATATATCTTAGTGGAAATTTTAGTGGTTTTCAGAGGGGGACATCTTTTTGTTAGTGATTTTCTGGTGGTTTGAGGAGCCTTGTCTGGCGGATTGCTATTTCATCCGTTGGCAACACTGCTTTCTACATATACATATTTATTTATCTATGGTCTAAACTAAATTGTGTAGTGTTCTGTGACTTTAATTTTAATTATCATTTTACATAATTATGTAAAACAGTTTGATTTATTACGATAATGCTGTAAAAAGGAAGAGTATTGGAAAAACAAAAATGATGAAAGCAACAGGATTATGCTCCCATAAGCCTCTTTCGGGCCAACTCTATAAATATACCAATGTTGTAAAGGGATGGCAGCAGAGATGGTTTGCAGTGGACCCAGAGACTGGTGTCCTTTCTTATTACCTTTTTGATGGACCAGGAGATACAATTCAGCCTGGCCAGCCAGCACGAGGAGAGGTAAATTTCTTGATGTGTTTACTTTTAGAGATCTTTTTTGGAATTTTATTCTTTAAATTTGTAAAAATGTAATATTGTGATCATCATGAAGATGGTTTCTTTGGTGTTTACATAGTAAAAATAAAAGCTTAAAATAACTAAAACTATGTAAAGTGTATAAGATATCTGCCTTTTGACGATTAAGACTAAGTAAGTTTTTTAACTTATAAAAGTCGAAATATTTCAGCATTACTTACATTCTTAAAATAAATATTTAGTTTACACCTACTATTTTACTTTCGTAAATTATTGAACAAAAATTATGGTGTTATGAGGTGAGAATTTGTCATGAAATATATTTTTAACATGGAAGTATCATAGATTTTTTTTATATCAATAAAAAACTTTTAGCAGTTTTTTGATTATCACCCTACTTTTGTAATAATCGTCAATTATTCGCCCGTGCTGCTATTATAGCATGCTAGCCATACACCTAGCCCACTCACTCAGCAATGAGCAAATAACTAAACATTGGGACATATTACATGTCAATTTATTTGCGGAAAATTCGTCAATATAGGCAAGAAGATCGAAATATTTTTTTTCTTGATGAAACATGGGCAGACAACAACCTCACATTTAAAAAATGCAGGAGAAATGAAATGATAGACGCCGTGTTGATGGATACAAGCTCCACGAACAGGCTCATTCTTGTCCACGCAGGATCGAGAGGAGGGTTTTTAAATGGTGCAAAATTACTTTTTAAGGCTGGTACTACATCAGGTGATTATCACAGACAGATGAACAGTGTTAATTGTGAGAAGTGGGCCACTGATATGTTAATCCCTAATCTACCACAGACCAGCGTTGTTGTGATGGACAACGCACCATATCATAGTGTACAAGAAAATAAAGTCCCAACAAAGTCCAGCACCAAATCAGTAATGTTGGAATGGTTAACCAAGAAGAATATCGAAGCTTCACTTACTATATCAGCTCTTTCACTTGGTTCAGTTACATAAACCTACGGAAAAATCTTTCAAAATCGATGAATTCATCAGAAGTCAAGGCCATATTGTAGTAAGACTACCATGGTACATGTGCGACCTCAATCCTATTGAGTTGGCTTGGGCAAAAGTAAAAAGAATTGTAAGGCATCACAATGTTACTTCTGATTTCTCCCTAAAAAGGTTAAAAGAAGTTACGGAGCTGGCTCTCTCTCAGGTCACAGAGGAAGATTGGCGTGGCTTCGACAATCACGTCATAATTTTAGAAGAAAATTATTGGCAAAGAGATGGATTAATGGAAGATACCATAGATCGATTCGTAATTGAGGTCAGCGATGGTGAGGATAGTGACACTGATTCAACCAAGTCTGCCATTTCAGAATCTGATGCTGCATAAATTATAATTTTTTTATTGATTTTGATGTGTAAAATAATAAAAAATGTGTGATAATTATTACCTTGTTTTTTCTAAACTTAAAACGTTAAACTTAAAACAATGTTGAAATTTATCGACATATTGTCATCATTAATTCTAATTAGGTCACAGCACTATCGCATTCCTGAGCTCTGCATTCAACTCGCGCGCTATCTGTATATACGTAAGGATACTAATGAGCAGTGCGCACTTACTGCGTACCACAGCCACGCAGCTGCCTGGATAAGATACGGCATCATATTCTGGGGAAACTCTACCGAGGTACACGCGGTATTCATGCTCCAAAAACTTAGAATCATCACATTCGCAGCTCCAAGAGATTTATGTCGAAGGTTGTTCCCCAGATATAACTTACTAACTGTA